ATTAAAAAAAAAGAAAGAAAATAGATCTTTTTATCACTGTCTCTTACTTCAGCAAATAGCTATTTCAGATCAATGTATTTTCCCCTCGGTGCTCCCACCCAACTCTTATTCCTTTGAAATAGGAAGGAAGCAATCCCTGTTTTCACAGGACTTGATTTTGGTAAGTGAGTGTTATGTGACATGCTGGTCAGCTGGTGTCCCTCACTCCAGATACTGCTACATCCTGCTGGTGCTACATGTGCTGCTAATAAAACACTTCAGACTTTCTTGTACCAAAGGCCTTACTGATACAGAAGTGCTTAAGCACGTGTGCCGCGTCAAGCATGCGAGCGGCTCCGGTGAAACCCAGAGGGCTGCTGAAAGCCATTGACCTCAATGGGACCACTCAAGAGCTCGCTGTTGGCATGAGCGCAGCTATCTTAGGGACACGGCACTGGCAGGAATCACATTCATCAGATGGTCTCATTGCTGATTTTCACCCCGCAGCTACCTCATGTAGCAGTTATTCCTTTAGCAAACTGATCCAGCTCTGCTGTAAGGGGCGTTGTGGGATACTTCATGCAATGTCCGTAGGAAAGCTGTTACTCCCAGAACCTTTCTACTCAGTTTTGTTGTTTTTTTTTTTTTAAACTCACAGTTCTATATTTATTTATGATCAGTTTATACTCATTTCCTCTCACTGTTCATAATTCTGGTCTTGAGAGTTCCTTGATTCCTCCTGCACAATATTTCCTGTCTTTACTTGTATAAGTGATGCTTCCCAACTTCATGTCATCTGCACATTTTGTTGCAGAATGCTGTTTTTTTTTTTTTTTTGCCAAAGTGACTGAAGAATATATGAAATAAGATGAGCCCTGACACTGTTCCTTGAGGAGCAACATGAGTAACTGCCTCCCACCCTGGATTATTATCATCACTCTTTTAGTCAGTTCTTCGCTCATCAGACCATTTTTCTTATAATAATGTCTATTTTCTAAGGCTGAACAAATCAGTTTGCATGCGGTAACATGAAATGCTTTATTTATTTAAGAGCAGCTCTACCACATGTAGAACTGAATTGAAATGATACATATAATACACATATAATACACATATATATATATCATATATGCATCTATCTAAATTGTGTGTTTTTTAATTCACTTTTGCTTCTACAGTTTTTTTCATAGTAAAAATACGTATTTGGAGAAACAAAAAATGTTATTTACTCTTAGAAACTACTCTGTTGCTGGTCTGAAGGGACCTTTGTGGTTTCTAATGTTTTGTTTTAATCAGAAATCAATTTCCAGCTTCCCTTTAAAGTGATACCTTATCTATTCTATATTTATGTGTTACTGAATTTTGTACTCCTGGGAGGTTTTCTTTCACTCTGCTAGCAGAGAACATATTGGCTTGTGTTAATTAGGAGATTTTAATTTCTTTCCTGTTACTAAAGTTAAGAAAAATATTTTCAGAATTATTTAAAAGTAATAACAGGGTAATTTTTTTGGTTAGATAAAGTCAGGAAACCATGACAGTAGCCCTGACCTTTTGAATTTGATATAGATATTTTGCAAGAAAAATAAACTAAAGATTAAAAGATGAAAATAATCCTACTCAAGTAGATGGCTCATGCACTTAAAATAGTTTCATTCTTCATTTAAAAGTAATCCCACCTAACTATTCTAAGATTTCTCTGAACGTTTCAGATACAGAGGCAAACATGAAATATATAACTCACGCTGCTTGCAACATGAAATGATACGAATTTACCATGTTATTGATGTTGTTACCTTCATTATGTGTTTTCCTTTGAGGAATGTAGTTAAAAGACTCCGGTAAATAAGAGGTTACCATTGTGAAATGAACATCTGAACTGAAAAACAACTATGAAACAAAATGACCAATTTCAATGCATCATACTGTCCACAAACTCGAAAGGAACTACTGAAACATCTAGTCTTATTTTTCCATATTGTTAAACCAGATAACTTGTCTGACTAAAATATAATATCTGGCCTTAATTCTATTCATATAGAAAAGTAAACATGCATTCATGTAAATAAGTTTTGTTTATGTGAAAAGTCAGTAAGACTACTCATGTGCAAAAAATTACTTGTGTGTCAATGTTTAGGGGAACAAGATCTGTTTGTTAGGTGGTGTATGATCTAACTGGAAACTAAATTTACGTTCTTTGACTGAGCACATTCGCTTATTATTTATTATGCAATTTTCTTGACCTATTACAGATTAGAAATGACAGTTTCTGGGAACCTCTCAGTTCTCATACAGAAAGTAAATAAATATCACTTTAAATCCCCATACATATTTGTATATTGATTTTTAAGTTGGATCATTTAGCTACATTTTCCATTGACTAATGAGGCCTTACAGAATGCTAAATAATGAGGCAGCTGAGTAGCCAGAAAGCAAAACAATTGACTTTTCTATCATAATCGACTGTGGTCTTTTCCTCAGTCAACAAGATAGGGAAAGTGTATATCTCAGCCTGACTGGTCCAGCTTGTACAACAAAGACAATTTCCCATGAAGGAATCTGTACAAGCATTAAGGGTAGAGTCAAGTCCATTAATATGTGTGTTGTCTTCAAGTATGTATATAATGAGGTGTCCCAACGTGTGGGTCCCGTTCCTCTGTGTAGTCAGTGGGGAGACGCAGGCACTTTCAGAAATCCGCAGAGAGAGATCTTGACTACATAACCTGACGCCTAAACGTAGGCAAAAAAAAAAAAAAATCTTTCTCCAAGAAGCCTCAAAGACCTCTGCCCTTCTCTCTTGATGATATAGGGAACTCGGGCAGAATTAGGCATAAAGTTTATGGGCAAAAATTAGATCTCGTAGTTCAACCTGGCCAAATGTATTTGTAGAACCTTGGTCTTGTGCTCCTCCGGCTGTTCCTTCTCATCAGCTTTTCTTCACCAGCTCCACTTAAGCCTCCAGCTTTCTGTCTCCTTAACCCCGGTGTCTCTTGCACCAGACCAGAGCTGCAAGCGTCCATGCAGAGACCAGATGAATTCAACAGTGCTAACTTTGATTCTTCTGGATGGCCTTGCAACATTCCTAGTATTTTCCTCTATGGTTTCTGGCATTACTGTGTTATCCAGACACACTGGCACAGCTAATTCCATATTGCATTTTGGTATCTAGATGCTATCATTACCTCATTCTGAGAAAATGCTCTGGGAAAGTAAATTTGTGCTCCAGCTGAGATGTTGTTATACTGCCTTATCTCTAAATTTAAGTAAATATTACTGTAAAGGGTTAAGGCTTAAATGACTTAAAATATAATATCTTTACTAATAGCTTCTAATCACAAAGGTAACTGTAAATTCATTTGAGAGGAAACTGATTTCCTTGCAGAAAGCCAACATGTCCATTTTCACTGAGAAGAGAACAGAAAGAACTGAAATCAAAAGGACTGTCTTCAGGTTCAGAGGAACATTGACTATGGCTTTTTGATTGTGGCAAAGCTATTTGACACAGGGAAATCTGTAGGTTTCCTTCCCAGTACGGGACTAAGCCTGCCCGTGGGGCATGCTGTGGCATAATGACATCCTACGAGGTATCAATAGCTGGGCGAGCAAAAGGGCGTTTTTTCCCTCCAGCTTCTGCGATCTTCATCTGCACCCTCCTCTGCAGTGGCCTAGATGTTTGTCTGAGCAGAACTCCAACTCCGAACCTTTTGATATTCCTCCGTTATTCAGTTAAATTCATACATTTCTGCTCGCAACCTAGTCATACTGAAGAAAGCTGGGCTATCTTTCAGTAACCACAGTTTCAGCCCTCTTACTCCTTTTGTGACAGCTAAGTCCTCTTTTGATTTGCTCTTGAATTATGCATCCCTACTGCACAATAAATTTTCTTCAATTATTAGATATTGTGCTATTTAAGATTTTGAAAATGTGATTTGAGATTAAACCCTACTCTAAACAGCCAGGGCTACTGGTAATTTACGTATTGGTTCCTGGGACACAAAGCAATTTTCTAATCAACATTTACTCAAAAATTAGTAATTTTTTTTTTCCTTACAACAATTAATTATGAAAAATGGCTACAACTGTCTCTTGACAAAATAAGAAGAAGGCAAAAAGACCCATGGTTAGCATGGTGATTATGGAAAACTTTATATTTGGCTTTTATTTTGAATTTAACAGAATCAAATATATACTTGATAATACCCCATTTTGGCTATTTAATTGAAATCAGTGAGCCGGAGCTTTAGCTGCTGTTAATTAACATATCTGCACTAATATCAGGGGGGTTACAGTAACTGGGAATAATTTGCCATCTGGCTCCATCTACACTAAAACCTAATTTACCGGATTCTACAGAGCAGTTGAAAGAAGAAACGGAAATAAACATAGTGTACACTACAAATTATGTAAGGTACATGATTCTCCACTAACCTCCCATGTCATTTTCTAAATCTCTATGCTTCACTCAGTAATCTCAGTTGCTATTGATAGGTGATGTTATTAAACTGCGTGCTATTAATTTCTGTCAAATGTACTTTTTGTTCTACCAATTTCCCTTAAGCTACCTTCAGTTTCTAGAACAAGACTTCTTTTCATTTGAAAATTGGCAGTAACAGCTAATCATTTTTTCATAACTGTTTTGCCAAGTTGACTGGTCCAAATTCATCACAAATGTAATTTACCCTCTTTTGCAGTCAGTTTAATCTCAAGATGATTTGGCTTACCATATCTTTGTGAAACTTACGCAGTTCATGATAGTAAGAAGGTATATCAGCCGTAACTAAGTAGTTTTAAAAAATAGATAGGCAAAACAAAAAAAGAACGAATCAAAGATTTGATTGAAAGCCTCTGTACTTGTTGTGTAAGAATATGTATTCATAACCACATTCATTTCTATTCATGTGCAAATTCCTTCCACATGCATAAGCATATTTTAATTGTTCTCTCATGGAAACAGTTAAGCTGTATCACAGGAAAACTTAAATACTCATAATCTTTGTTTGTCTTTTTTTTAAACTATATTACAGATTTATTGGCCTGCAGCAAAAGAAAAGGTGGAATTGTGCAAACTAGCTGGGAAAGATGCCCATGTAAGTATAGTATATATTTTTACTTATTGTTGCTGATAATGTTGTATACCTATATATATTTGCTTCTAAATGCACAAAATAGGGTTGATGAACTATTCTTAGGTTTATACTTTTTTTCCTAAGGAGTAGATAAAGCATGAATCAAAAAAAGATTTTTTTTCTTTCATTTAAAAATCATTGCACGTTCAGGCTTCTCTTTAAATGTTAATATTTCAGGAAAAATATTGAATAGCGTAAGCAGCAAACATGCTTAACAATCAATATATGCAATAGATACCATTGAGAGAAGTCTTTCCTCTGAAATATATCCTGGGAGGTACTCTGAGTAGGTTTGATTTGAAATCCACTGGAGTCTGCATATGACTCTACTGTTGTTATCACAATCCTTTCTTTCCCATCCAACTGCTCCTTTTTCTTGGGAACATCCTGAATGTAACTTCATTATAAGTCATTAACAAAACAGAGTAGCAGTGCATCTTACAAATTAACTTAATTTGTATACAGCTGCAATTGACATAATGTTAAAACAAAATCTCAGACTCATTAACTTTTCCCTGAAACCACAAATCTTCTTTAAAAGGTTCTGTGTACATAAGGTGCATTCATATATACAGTAAAACTCTTATATATCTTTTGCATAGCACAGATTGCATCGTCTATGTAGAGTCCACCATAAATATAAACATTTCCCAGCTGTATAATACAATTTCTTCCTTTTCTGTACACAAATTCTGTGTTTTCCATCCAGCTTGTCTGTTACCAAGGTGGACTCCAGCTCAAAACACTCTCTCAGCTTTCTGCCTAAGGAATTTCAACTTTTTATCCTAACTTATTACTACCCTTATCTTTATAGCTGACAAGAACCAAACAACACCTCTCCTGAGCACTGGGAAAATTCCGATACTGGTCTATATGCAGGATTTGCACTAATCTACTCCCATGCTCAAGCAAAAGAGAAGGAGAATATTCGTACTCTAGGGCCAGGATTGACCTGAGCATCCCCAAGGACTCATAGAAATACCCAAACAAAACAGAGCAGTAGGATGTGGTTGGTGCAAAGAGAACTCGTACACAAAAATACTCTCTGGAACTATGTTACAGCTCCCCTCACTTCGCCACAGTGATTTCTGTCATTTAATCTTTGGCGTTAAGGCTTGCGCAGAACCCTTAATTGGGAGCAAAAGCAGGAGAATTGATAGTCAGGCTAATCCTGTGGCTATCCCACTTCTGACCAGTTGTTGACAGGGGATGTTTATTACGAGCGAGTGAAGAGATATCCTCCAAACTGTATTGTTACCACACAGCTTATCGTGGCTCATGACTGTGAGCATTATAACTAAAATAAGCTTGCAAGTCTGATGGATGAACTGCCTGGTAAATAGCCACCGCAAGATTTTAGCCATCACAACTTTGAACTATTTAGTAAACAATCACTGTTACAGTAGTTTTGACTTAAGCAGAGGGATACCATGACTATAACCTCATAGAATGTGCAATGTGAAAGAAGAATAAGCAGGAAAATTAACATTTCTCTCCTTTCTTTTTACAATAGACAGAGTGTGCCAATTTTATCAGGGTTCTTCAGCCCTACAACCGAACTCATGTGTATGCCTGTGGCACAGGAGCATTTCACCCTCTTTGCGGTTACATTGAACTTGGAACTCACAAAGAGGTAATTTGGTTTCCTCACTGCTCTGATGTGTCAAGGAATAACCCTCTTCTTGTTTAACATTCATCATAGATTTGAAAATACCATGTGAATGTATAAAAAATGAACTGACGGCAGCTTACATAAATAATAGAGCAAATGGTGGATTTTACAGGTCAGAGAAGAACTTGTGTTCTCGTATTTGATATGTGCTTATCGCTCTTGAACAAAGCACTTTTCTTGGTAAGGCTTAATACACAAACTTCTTCAGAATGACACTTTCGCATGATTAACTAAGTGAAGAGCATATTTAATGCAGACGTCTTGCTTTCGAGTAAGTCACTTCCCCAAATATTTTCTACTTACACATGCACGGTTCAAGATTCATAATTCTATTTTTTAATGTACGCATATTCCTCTGTCCTCAAAGATAATTTCCTATTCCTTGCACATAATATATGTAGAGTTTGTAAATGGACTCTTCAGAGCCTGAGTCAAAGGATAGCATCTCAGTCGTTTGCAGATAGTTTACAACCCTGTTGTTAAGTGAATGTCCTGATATCCTCTACCACTAGCGGCATATTCCTGAACTGAAGTTAGAAGCTGATTGGTCTTCATATGCTGGTGACCCAGAAATCTCTGTCCTAAGTGGTAAATGTTTGAGACCAAAGCCTCACAGCAGAAACATTTAGCTATTGTCTCAGTCAACTGCTTAGTACACAAGTCTCTTTTTAACTGCTGTATGTACAACACCTTGGCTATATTTGTTACTTTGGCTATTTTCTCAGACGGCGTCTAGAAGTGACCTACCTGGCTACTTGCCTGCAGTGCACTCCTTCTGTAACACTAGAGCTTCTTTCTCTTCTCCCAGGGTCTAAGTGAAATTCTAGAATATAAGAAATGAGGTTCGATGATACATTATTAAATTCAATAACCTGATGTATACATCAGAATTATTCTGGCATACAGAATCAAGGGCTAATGCTCTTGAAATAAAACAAAATGAAACAAATAAAAAACTGTTAAAAACAATAAAAAGCTATTATTTTATGCCTAGACTGAGACCCATTTGTTCATTCTTCCTGGTCTGTGGGCTGATTGACCAACCCGGGGCAGCTTCCTAAGTTACAGAACTCCGAAGCTGCCTGAAATCTTCAAGATGTTGCTCCTTTCCCAGGAAATCATGAATGCTCTTGGTATTATTTAGTATATGTTGCATAAATGAGTCTGCAAAGAAATCTTGTAGGTTTCTTTGCTTCAGTACTTTGAATATTCTAGCTGAAGAAACTGAGATTTTAGATGCCTTGTATGATACATCCTGCTGATCCTCTAGCTTGAATGCTCCAATATTCAGGTGAATTGAACAGAACAGCTCTCATCAAGTCTGTAGATTACTTTTAGGTCAACAGCATCTTGCAAGATGCTTTATTCACTCTGCCACTGCACCCTTAATGACTTCATTTGCGAAGGATATTTTCATCAGACGTCGTAAAGTTATAGATTTGGCCTAATCGATTAGTTCAGTCTGATAGCTAGTCTAGACAAGAGATATGTCTTGACTAGACCTAATCAACTGCCCTGTGACAGAAGGGAAGACAAATCCGCATATTGTATGCCCTAATCACCTCCCTGTCTTCCCAGTCCTGCCTGTCCGACATTCACCAGTTGCTCAGCAGAAGCGGTAAATTTTACAGTGTTCACCACTGCTCAAGTCTCTTCTGATGGAGCATTTTTTTATACAACATCCTACTGAATTTGCAGCTTTGAATAGTGTGAAAGGCTTTACTCCTTCCCTCCTTAGGTCCCAAACACCTGGTAGCTACTGCTCTTGCACTGCCTCTCCAGAGAAAAGTGACATTGCAGGCAGGTGCTGGGTCCCCTCTCCTTGCAAACACATTGATTTGCATTTGATAGGAAGCTGTAAATATGTCCTGGTTGTGGGAACCGAAGCCAAGGTTCCTATGTGGTAATTCAAAGCACTTTGTTCCACATCCATTCAGTTAGTCTTTTTTTCTTTTCCTTTTCTTTTTTTTTTTTTTTTTTAATCTTTGGTTACAAGAATGGATGTTTGGTAATTAACAACCTCTACAGGAAGCTGTGGGATGCTTGGGAGGGCCAGGGCCTGAGCTAGTCTCCCTGAGACTGTAAAAGCAGGCAGTGCCCTGGTGACCTTCGAAGCCCGCTGGTGGCTCTGCCCACCGGCCTGCTGCCCAGTGCCAGCGCTGTGAAAACAGGCGAGTCGGTATGGATCAGGTGACGCAAAACCACAGCACACACTGTTTTTGAAGAGTACAAATCCCCTACGGGATCACGCAATTAAAGGGGATTAAAACCCTAGTTCTGCTATTCCTGAAGTCACTGCCAAAACTTCTCTTGGCTGGTAAGGAAGAGGCTTGGCCCAGCCAGTGCCGTTAGCCACAGTTCTCAGAGGGATATACTTTTCTTAAAAAGCTTTATCCAGAGTGAAAGCAGGAGGTTAGTTCTGTGTGAATGCCTCATAGCGTTTGTCTAGATGAAATCTGAAATGTTTAATGTTCATCTGTAAATTTATCAGTCCCGTGAATACTGCTTAACTTGGAGACAGTCTATTTGTGTTTGACACTGCAAGGCTTGTCTGAGCAGCTCAGGCTTACACTTGTTAGGATAAATGAGAAAGGGGTAGTAACATATTATTGTCATCAAAAAATATTTCGTTTTTAATTTAGTTTTGTACTAATTTAGTTTTGTACTTTCATACTGTGCTCTGACCCACTTCAGTAGCCTGAGAATTTGGTTTACCTGATATCCCAAAGGTTTGGGATGGTAACAAGGGTTGTTATTTGATGCTTAAATTCTGCTTTGTGCCATGATAGATGGAAGAAATGGAATTTACGTTCATAGATTGGAATTGATTTTTTTTCTTTTAAGGAGCTTAATTATTCAATAACCTGGGCTTTCGTCTTTTGAGCCTGGAGAGCTTAGAAGACAGCTCGATGAAATAAAAAGGTTTAATCATTTGTAATCGGGCGTCTACTCGTGATGAATTGAATTAATGTGCTGTGAAGTTTGATTCTATGTGGCCATCTTTAGGTATACTTAGCTGTCATTTGTAGTCTTCCATCCTCCTGCCAGGCAGAGGTATAGAAATAAGTATTTAAAGTCACTGCATCCTTTTTAAAGTATTGGTCTAAATCAGATAGAAGTTTGTTTTTCAAATCTGTACCTCTACAATAGACATTAAGCCCACAATGAATTGATTCCTGAACACTAGTGGGACTTTAAATATCACTGTAGAGGTACAGCACGTTAATAGCATTTTGTTGGCAATCCCCTTTCCCTAACGACAAAATTCTGAAAGCCTCTGTACCTACAAAGACTTCATTTTACTTATCTGAGTAAGCAGTTCAGTGGGACTCACAATGGGTTTCAGGTTTAAGTACGCAATTAAGAAACTAATGAAAGAAGGAAGTAAAAGTGCCCATTTTGACAAATCGAAACTGTAGGAATACCTCAAACTAATGTTTAATAAAACTTGAATTAAAAATGCAAGATCTTCCATTTCAAATACTAGGAATCATTTTTAAACAATTTCTTTTCTTTATCTTCTTCTATGGCCTTGTTCTGTGACCTAAGGATTAATCACCATATATTTGGGTACTACAACCAAAGATCTATTCTGATATCTTTCATATCACTAGCCTTGTTAAAAATAATAAGAGAGATCATATGCTACTCTCATTTAAAAGGGGCTCAACTATGTCTGCGGTGAACATTATTCAGCAGTCCCTGGAGAAATGCAGGAGTCAGCCAGAATCCCTTCTGGATCTCCTATTGCAACATAGTCTATCAGCACTTTCCCAAATAGAAGCCAGTGCCTTTTAAGTACAATCTAGCTTTTAATTTGAATAGAAATGAACACGATATCTTTTTTTTTTCCTGAAAGTAATTTTATGTTTCTAAGAAATATTTTTTGCTATAGAATGAGCAGGATACATTAAAACAAAGAGTGAAAACATCCAGATATGAAACAGATATGTGAACTGTAAACATCAACGTTGAGATGACAGCTGCATGACCTAATACATCTTCACTTCGTATGTTAGCAGGAGAGTTTGTCCAAGTGAGTTTTTCTCTGCAGCCACACCAGAATAATGAATATGTATTTATTCTCAGGACATAATATTCAGACTGGATGCTCAGAACCTGGAGTCTGGCAGGATGAAATGTCCTTTCGATCCTCAGCAGCCGTTTGCTTCAGTGATGGCAGGTGAGACCCCTCTGAGCGAGGTACTCCTCTCACACATGCGGTGGCTTCATAGCTAGACACCAGAGCCAGCGGCTCAGCAGATGTCATCGGCGGAGCTCCTCTGGCATGAGCAACATTTCAGATGCTGTTTTTTGCTGCCTGAGCTAAGGGACCCTTCAATCTGTGAACACCAAGGAGTTGGAAATTCAGCAATATAAATAGAAACGTTTGAGCAGATGTGAAAACGCTGCCAGTTTAGATTGAAGGCAGTTTCATCCTTACCCAGTTATTTCTCCTTTAAGAAGGCTACAGACACAGACAGAGACACAGACAGACACGCATACACGTGCACACACACAAAACCATGGACAGACAATGTTTCGAATGCTTCTGGGCCTCTTTCTGCAATTATCAATATGTTCTGCCCTTTGAAGTCTGCTGACATCCGCTATTTCCATAAATACATTTTTGAGGTCTCTATTTACTTGAGTAGCCACTTCTGAGGCTCTAAGTCTCAGAACAAGATAGTGCAATCGGCCTCCTGCGTGTCTTGCAGTGCTGTGTGGTCTGACACTCGGTGCCATGGAATGTCAGCTTGACCTCCAGATTTCAAACTGCTCTAAGAGCTACTTTTGTCATGGTTTGGTTCATAGCTTTGGACAATTTTCATTTAACTTGTCCATCAAACATATGAATACAAGATAAGAGTGAAGCACCATGACGTTTTCATTTACAGCCAAAGAGTGGTGATGACAATGCTTTGAAGTATCAGTCGCTCTGTGTTATAAAAAGAATATGACTAATGTTCAGTCTTTATTCTCAGATAATAAGATAGATGATTTGTGATTCTGACCCAACAGATGGGGCAGGACTTCCTTTATTAAAAACAATAGATTAAAGCTAGTGCTTATTCTTCTCAGGGACCCCTAGTACTATTTAATGACTGTGAAGTCTATTTATAAAATGGAATTCTAGAAACTTTAACTATTCTTCTTTTAATGCAATAGAACTCCATGATTTATTATCCTGTTGGCTAATTTCAGTAGCACTCTAGTGCTTTGACTGCTCTATTAAATCTTGTGAAATGAAGAAGCTGCCATGTTTTAGCTAAGTAAAACATGAACTTCGGTACATAGGAATTTTCAGGCGAGATAAAATTAATGATCAGGCTATTCCAGTATCCCTTTTCTGACTGTGCCTGGTGTTAAGTGCTTCAAAATAATGTACAAGGAGCATTGTAAAGAGTTACAGGCCTGACCAGAGAGTGTGTTCTTGGCCCACCTTCTGATTATTATTTTATTCGCAAAACTACTAGGAGAACAGTATAGCTCATGGATCAGATACTGCACTAGGGCTCAGGGGAGCTCAGTTCCTGCCCTCTGCCACAGGGAGACCCTCAGGGCTACTTCTCTCTGCTGCACTTTATTCATCTGCAAAATGATGATAAAAATTTCTTATGTCCTTCAAAAAGCGTTTTGAAATCAGTTATAAATATATGAGCTAAATGGTATTTCATTTTATTTTCGTTCATATATGTATGTAGGCTAATATAACGGAGTAATTTTCATTCTTTGTAGAAATGCCTAATCTTTCATTGAATTCTGCAAAGTATTTTGCCCCAAGTAAATTCCACAGATAAATTATATGCTATGTGAAAAGCTAGTCTTTGTGACTGTAAAATTAAGTCACCTGCTCATCATCCATCTTTATTACAAAGTACTACTCACCAAAACTGTTCTGGAAATAACTGGAACTTGGAATGAGCGATACCAAAAGCAGAGAGAAGTGCTGAAAACTCCTTGTCAGCAAAGTCTAAGCAAAGATGGACAATTTCTTTTAGCCCTTCAGATTTATCAATCACTGAGTGCCTGTCAGTTAGCAAACACCAATTATCCTGCCCATTCCTCATTATGACAAATACCTTTCAGAATGCACCATTGTTTCTTCACAAAGGCGACATGCTGTCTGAAAGATGTGCGTTTCAATATTGTCATGGAAATAATACATAAATAATAGTAATAATGAGGTGAAAAGAAAACTGGTAGATCTTTTTTTGGACAGATATAATGCTCTGGGATTGGTTTTATTTTTTGGGGAGGGGTCTTGTTTTTTAACAAACACACATCATCTATATTGAATGGTATTTATTCTGCATTATTCTGCATTCACTCTCAACAAAAGACCTTGTTAACAGATCTTGTGAAAGGTTTCCATACAGGGTAGAAACTCATCCTGGGGAAGGGAGGGAAAGGGGATTTTGATGTATGTTGTTTTGTATGTGATTATGGTTTATGAACATGACAATTGTCTTGTTTCTTTTTACAAATTCCAAGGATTTAATGTTACAAGTCATTAAGCAAAACCAAAATGCCTCCATCTAAAAAAAACAAAAAAACAAACAACCTATCTTATTATTTTTCAGGAAATAGAGTTGTAAAAGGCACTATGCAGTAAAAAGCACTCAGAGTAATTGCTTTTTTTTTTTTTTTTGCTTCTTTTTTACAAAAGTAATGAGATCCAAAGGAAAAGAGGAAACACTGTGCAGTGCTTAAAGCTGTGGAGTTTTGCTTTGTCCGCAAAGCTAGCAGAAGAATAAATAGTAACTGCAGTCGTAGCAAGCACACTGTACTGTATTGCAAATATAGTTTTCTTATGAGACAAATTCTGGCTGCCCTATTCAAGCGAGATATCTTGTTTATGCTGAAATGACCATGATTTGGGTCTGTAGCCATATTCCTACTATTAACATGTTGCGTAGTTGAGAAGAGTTCCGGTAGTGCCTAAATTCCTCTTCGCGAATAAAGTGTTGGATGGAGATCCCTAAACTGGTAAAGGGCAAAGCCAATAATTTCCCATTCCCAAAGGGTTCATCATGCTCAACCAGCTTGGGTTCAGGAGCAGCAAAGCCAGCAATATCGCTGTAAGGCTAGTACAAAAGGGATAGCTTCAGCCGGAAGATGGCCGTGTAGTTGCCGTAGTCCCTCGGGTTTCATGGTCAGTACTCATGGGGCAGGTTGCTTGATTCAGATATGACTTGATGTCCTTGTAAGCCCAGCACTCATCAAAGCCTATGGGGATTTACCTTCCTAAGTGCTTAAAGCATTCAGAAATTAGACTTAGATCCTTTCATTACATAGGCATGCAGTTACAAATGTTGCCTCCATTTAAATGTAAGTAGCCTCATAGAACCACAAACCATTAAAATATGAGACAGTAACACTTTAAAGCATTAAATTAGTTCATAGGCAAATTAGGTACAGGTGTTGTTCACACAACAAGACACAAATAGTTTTAATTTTGTTTACCCCATAGCTGTAGAAAACCTATTTCTTTTTTGTTTACAGATGAGTATCTTTATGCTGGAACAGCTTCTGATTTCCTTGGCAAAGATACTGCTCTGACACGTTCTCTGGGCCCTTCTCACGACCACCATTACATCAGAACTGACATTTCTGAACATTACTGGCTTACTGGTAAGATCCCAAACATATGCTGTTGTCGTTTGCAGTGTCCCTGTCTTTCTGAGTTAATAGCCCCTTTCTTACATAAATATATGTCCAGTAACTATAAATATAGATATTGTATCATGGTATCTTTGGATTATGTAGGCTCCTTTCTAAAAAGTTCAGTGGAAAAAAAAGCTCTTGAGAAATGTCATAGAGGTGAAAATGCTAACTAAGGAAGGAGCAAGAGAATAAGATCTAATAGTTCTTTCTATCTATGATCTGTATGTTGTCCAGTAATTGGAATAATATCATGATTTAAATGCTTCTATTTTCAGTGTTGTTGGAATATTTTTTTTAAATCATTTTTTCCAATCGCTTGTTAAAAAATGTTCCCTACAGCTTTCTGAAATGACAGACTAGAAGTTCCACTTTTTTAGGTGGTCGTCTTTTTTTTTTTTTGTTGTTTTTTGGAAGGGGGAAAAATGCCCTTTGTTGCTATGAGGATCATTTTAAAACCACTAAGGGCACCCTGAAATAGCTTCCCAAGCAAAACATGCCTTTTTCTTGCCTGTTAAAAACATTCTGAGCTAGTAAACCCTCTAAAAAGCTGGCCACATTTACACCCGGGCAGTCACAAACCACACACGGAGTAACATGGAAAACTTCACTCACAGGCTAACGCTGCTCAATTAAAGCATCTCCCTTTTAGCCGTCAAGTGTCTTTAAAGATGTGGCAACACTGGCCCTGATTCAGGATGCCTGTGTGGCTATTATGGGCATATTGTAAAGGCAGGGCCTGCTGACCGCAGGGTTAAGTTGTCTTCCCAGCAGTCAACTTCTGAAAGGGATAATTTTGCCTCTTAACTCTTTGAGACCTCA